GTTTCTCGTTGAGAATGACTATTAATGTAGACAATCTCTAAGAAAGAATGAATGAGCAAAGGAATATTCCAAGTTAAGCTCAACCGACAGCATTTGAGTCTTAACGTTGATCAATCATTTTCTTTAAAAAGGTTACGGTGAGGCACTTGGGACCAATTTTTGGTGGACTTAAAAGCAGAAACGTGAAGCATAATAGTTTATAAATACACTTACAATACAGTAATTAATGTGTTAAAACTTGTATTATTTGAGCAGTTTAAATCATATTTCTAACCCTTTTGATGTTTACATTATGATGTTGTAAATTAAATTTGATATTATTTACATTTTGAAACTTTTGAAACTGAGTATTTTAATGTTTGTAAATTGGTCGCATTCACTTAACATTGTAAAGACTTCAATGTAGCCCAGAGTTCTTTTTTTTTTCTTTTTTGAAGGACAAGTTGAAAGTTTGGTGTGGTAATCAACATGCCATTATGCTGTCAATTGAATTGAACTTGAATTGCACCCAGAATATTCCTTTAACAGGAAAAAAAAGTATAAAAGAGAAACAACTGGACATGAGAGGCATAAAGATGGAAAGAAAGGAAGAAATTAGATTACACAGATGCCTAGGTGAAATGGTAGGGAAAGAGGATGTTACTACGTTTGGGAAAAACGGAGTGATATGAACAGAGGCAGGTAGTCAAACTGAAGCGGCGTAAAAGACGGGAATGAAGGAAACTTCGTGTGGTCCAATGGCAAAGGCCAATGATTTAGAGGTTGTTGATCCCGGGCAGGCGGCCCAGCGGCTCAGCGCAACCAATGACTCACTCACTCTCTCACACTCACTGGGAGCTGGCTCTCTAAGTCACCACACTTAAAACATCCATATGTGTTTAGAGTCATTGAAGTGAAAACCAAGGCCTGCACCCATTGCTGGAAAGAGCTACTGAATCCCTCTCTCCCGCTCTCACTCTCCAGAATGTTCATAAACAGATGGCCGGACCTTATTAGCCATGTCACAACTACTGAGAACATCATGAAGACATTGCATTCTCTCTGAATATGAAAGCCTGAACATGAAACGATAGACAATAACCATTAGTGCTGAAATAAGAAAGAAGGAGAGTAGGTTAAAGGAGGGGTTGTCAAACTTTTTTCATGCCACAGACCCTCAAATATGACGATCCCCTTGAGAGGAACACTAAAATATAAAGGCAGCTATATATTTTTATGTACAAAGTCCCATTTATACTTTATGAGAAAAAGGTACTATTATAAAAACAACATGTTTGCAAAATTGTATAATTGGATTTCATATTATTGCTGTACTGGAAGCTGAAATCATTTAGGCACAACAACATGTCCACCACAGCAATTAAATGAAATAAACAGACTTTGTATGTAACATTTGGGTTCAAATAGTTTTTGTTTCAGTCTACATGTCTTTTATTTGTGAATTCAGAGAGAACACTTGCTGGTGTACATGTTATTTTAGTTCACTTTTGGCCTGTGTTTCTCATTGTACATGCAGTTCTTGTAAGGATTTACCGTGATGGAGACAAATGGTTTGCCGTTCTCCTCTCTGCTATTAAACTGCGTTGTGTGCAGACATTTGAGGGTAGAGTAATACTCAGATAGGCGCCACTTAAGAAGAACATTGACAAATGGCTGTCGACAGGACATTGTCACCTTTTTCTCTTGCCTCTTAAGATATTTGCTTGAGTGTGGTTTGCCACCTCTGATCTGTGAGTTCAAGGGTGTTACTGGATTCTGTGTGGTCAGGGACTATCCACCCCTTGGTGGGGAGTATTTTTCTTTGAGGGCTATTGGACCAGAGCTTAGCCTTGTTATTGCTGAATGAGACAACAGATCTAACTCAGGGACTTTCCCAAATGACAAAGCAAGAAATATCCTGCCATCTCCAACCTCAATTGACGACTATATATTAGGTTCTGGTCAGGACATAACTTCTCGTATAAAACCAAAGAGGATAGTGCATATTGTTGTTAACGTCCTCGGTACTAAATCAGAGCATATGTGAAATTGCGGTTTCGCTTGAAATTGAAACTTTAAGAGTTTTCTCATAACAAAAACTCATTTTGCCATCTGTTGTTTGTTGAAATGGGGACCTGGAAAGGGTTACAAATTACTCATAATGTCTAATAGAATGCCTAAATATTACCAATGGTGTCGTAAAAGTCACAGTGTGTTTGTCACAACAGCAATGCTGAAAATTATGTTTGAATGCATCATTTTAAAACTCATAAATTATCGTAGAGTCACGAAAAAAATTGGAACAGTAACGCTCAGATATTTGTGGATATATGTTGCCTTCTAACATGGTAAGTAGCCATGATATCAGTGCAGCAGGATGCCAGTGGAAGAATATTGTAGCTTCTGCACAATGGGAAGGGTTATATCTCTCCAAACAGATGTATACGCAAACCACAGCTGTATCGCACATGTCACCCACCAATACTGAACTGATCACAAACCGGTCTAAGCCGTCTCTCAAGGACCTCTACTTCGCCTCTGCATGTATGTGAATCATTGTGATTTTTGCAGTGCAAAGAGACAGATCAAATAGACCGGGCTCGCTTCTGAACGCAGAACAGGCCTGGCTGGATATGGTGGCATGCTGATCAATGCTCAGGGCCATTTCCATAATTACCCAACAGTCCAATCATTGTGGATTCCTGCAACTCCTGATCTCTGCTGATAATCAGCCAGTGTTCTGGTCAGCGCTGGACCCCCAAGGATGAACAGGTGCGGCAATGCGACTGATTGCAACTAATGCAACTGAGGTCTGTTCAGAGAGGACATTCCCCTCTGGACCTGCAATCTGAAGATCTCTCTAGATGAGAAGAAAAGAGGACTTGTCCTGCATTTGGCTCAGTCTTATCACAAACCCTCTGAAGAGCAAGAATGCCAGACATTCTTACAACTCTGTTAACGTAAGAGTGTCGGACACTCAGATCAACAAGCTGTTCTAGTCCCTGATCTCCAACAGAGCACTTGGATGTTAGCACCTAATAGAAATAATTAATCAAGCAGGAGCATAAATAAATAAACAATACATGAGAGATAATGTATTAATGAAATAAAGATTTACGTTTTCTCATATGTTGCATTTAGGCTATTCAATAACAATTGCTCCATCTAAATCCACAGCATGACTTTGAACTAAAGAGAAAATGCAAAGGATATTGAACTTTAAATGTGCATAAAAGACTGATTTTTGTTGTGAGAAAAAATTATAATGGAAAAAAATATTGAACATAATTAACTCCATGTTGTTTGGATTAAACAATCTGTCTCTTGATCCCTTTAAATTTTCAGTAAAAACAAGTATTGTCAGAAAACTCTGTTATATAAAATGTTAACGTCATAAGTGTTTTTTGTGATATTGTTATTCATATTTATAATATTTTATAGTAATATTTTTAATTTATTTATTTAATGTGTACCATGAGCTTCAACGTTTATGTAGTACTCCTTCCACTTTTGAGCACAAACAGAAATGCTGAAAAGTGCAAGCAGCCACACACATGCAAAAAGAACAGTAGACATTATAGAGCTCTTAAACATGGAAAATAAAGTCTTTACATTTCTGCATTTCATTTAAATACCATTTATATTTGTCTTGATAGTACATGTGGCATTGTGGAAAGCATCATGATGACTTTGGATGAAGTTAATTAAAAGTGGTCTTTCCAGCAACTGCGGTCAGTAATAAGGCAGACCACAGTGCCACACACAAAGACAAGTCAGTGTGACTCTCGTGCCAGTGAAATAATGCAATAAACATGAAATGAATAAGATGTAATGCAACATAAAAGATTAATTTTATCTATATTTTACAGTCAATAAAATGGTAACAGATTTCAACTGTAATGACCAATTAGATACGGATAAACATGCACTCAGTAAAATGTGTATTGAATGCGATGTAACATTATTTTCCGTGAACATGACACTTAGTGTGTATAATACTTTTCTTTACTTACACGATGAACCTTACGAAAAAGAAGTTTATTCAAGTGTGCTATTAGTATACTTCTTTTAAACTAAAAATAGGAAAGTATACTTTTAGTCTACTTTTTATGTACTTCTCAGAAATGGGCTTTATGTACTTCTTAGAAAAATGTCATTTAAGTATACTTGACTTATACTTGGAAAAAGTCTAAATATATTTTAGCTATAATTGTGCTCCTAGAATCCGTGTTTTCATTGTTATACAGTAGGGGGCGCTAGTTTTGATTATCGTTCTGAATCCAATTCATAGTCTTTTTTTCAGCTTTTTGTTCAAAATGTTGTTTATTTCTTATTTATGAAACGTATCCACATTCAAGTGTTTCAAAAAAGAATGCATGAAGCTAGAATACAATGTTTTTGTTTACAAGCAGATACCCTGTTCTTTCTTTTGATGGTTTGTATGTTCAGATAATCATATAACAAAATATATACAAATTAATACCTAAATAGGGACATAGTAGTATACTTCAAGTATGATGTAAAGTTCACTTAAAGAAAACTTACGAGTATACTTGCAGTATAAAACTACTAAACTAGTAGTTTACTGAGACTATACTTCAAAGTGTACTAAAAATGCTACTACAAGTATTTAATTAGTAAACTATTAGTATACCTATAAAGTTCACTTTTAGTAGAGTTGCAGTACAAACTAAACATTTTGATGTAAACTAGTTGTGTACTCAAAGTTCACTACTGTTATACTTAAAAGTATACTTTTATATACTAGAAAGTGGGCCAATTTAGTCCGAAGGAGTATTGCAATAGTACACTTACAAGTATACCACTAGTACACTGATATTTGTATGCTTCCTACATAAAGTATACTTAAAAATATACTTGTACTTTACTTAAGTATACATACTAAAATAAACTTGAAGTACACTACTTTTTGGTAAGGGGACGCGCGTTCCCGGACTGGATAGACGTCATCGTGCGCGTTCCCCTTCTCGCGCGCTGGTTAAAAAGAAGGTGGAAAGAGCAAAGAGAAACATGTGAGTGCACTGAAGAGCATGCAACACACAACTTAGTGCAACTTTTGATCACGCGTATCAACCTTTGTGCACCAACGGGATTTAACTTCTTGGGAAAGGAGACGTACAATTTCTGTATATAGGCTAATCCGATCACTTCTTGTGTTTTTTATTTCTGATTAAAATACAGTATCATGTTTTTTCCACTTTAACAACATCATAACCAGCACTTGTTTTCATTTATTATCGTAATTTCTTTTTTTTAATACCTTTACTATTATTTAATTTAGACTGCTTTGCTTGAATCACAATTAGTAATTCTATAACAACTTTCTGGACGCGTGGGGACTGTCATACAGCAGTCCTGGTTTCTGAGCAGTCGCGTGTTCCGCTTTCCCTCTGAAAATGATGCATTTGAAATGTGTGCTCTTGTTGGCCATCGCGGCCAATTTTTGGGAATGCAGTGATGCGAAATTCGGCGAGAAAGGAGAATTAAGTCCAAGGAGGAGGAGATGTTACGATGGAAGTCTGCCGAAACGCCTGAAAAAGAAGGAGAGAAAACTGTCACTGGAGGGAAGCGGCGGAGGGGAGGTTTGTCACAGGCTCTATCCTCGCGTGTCCTGCTGTCCGTCCAGAAGAGCTCCGTATCAGATCCTCCATCGGAGAGATGCTCGGGTATGTTCAGGCTTCCTGCAGCCTCAAACTGACCTAGTGATTCTCATGCGTGTTTTATTATGGCATTGATATTAAGATGTTTGCAACAGCAGTATGTAGTGGGATAATGGTTGATCTTGTAATGAACATATGGATACATATGCGCACTGTAGCCTATGTATTGAATTGTGTATGTGTATTGCATTAAAAACAGTCAGCAAGACGCACGCAGCGCAGTGTAACAGAACGCGCGAGTCTCGAAACGCGGTTTTAAAAGTTGATCAACGCTGATAAACACAGCGAGATGACGTCCGTCTCGCGCATAATTACATAGAAAAACTATTAAAAACCGCTCGGACCGAGGTTAGAACGCGGGCAGTGCTGTTCATTGGCGAGCACGAGGCGTATGAATGAAATCGCTTAATTTGCATGCTCCCCTGCTGCAATATTGTGTTTCCGAAATCGGAATCGCTCTTAGAAGCTGTGCTCCTGCAGTTACATGTTTGTATGTATAGATTAGACGTTTTGCGCAACTTTTCACGCTGATGTTTCAGTGACAGCATGTGCTTCTCGTAGTGATGGATATAATTTACATAAAACAGATGGGAAACAAATGTCTCTCGATCGGTAATGAATCGCACCTTTCTGAGGCTTTCTACAGACGTGAGAAAATCCATCTCAATAGTTTTATCAATGAACACATTCTATGCCGAGAAATCGCTCTCTTTTCTCATGTAAACAACCTCCGCAAATCGACATACGCGGCTGGGTGGCATCGCACGTCGGTTTGTGACAAAAAGCCATATTGCATCATTTCATTTGCTCAAGTCATGCAAATAAGAGCGAGGCTGAATGGAACAAAAAAGAGTCGACATCTCCTCCTCCCCACTACACTGCCCACACACGGAGTCTTTTTGCTTATGGCAAAAGAATAACAACAACACCATTGTGTTTGTTAGTTTCACTAATGGGTGAAGCTGGAGAACATCATTCTCCCCCAGTCCTTGGCTCTGTCCAAGTGTTAGTTAATGCCTTTGAGTGAGTATTTGTCCTGCTCCCCACCCCAAACTTACTTACACCAATTCCCAGAGGGCCAAAATGGTTTCACTTAAGCTGTTTAAAACAAGCTTACAAGTTTTGTGGGGAAGTTAGCTCAGTTGTGGTTTGTCAAGTCTGCGAATTCCTTGAATCATGTCAGGTGATTCATTCGGTAAATTGCCTGTTTGTTTAATCTTATGGTTGTGGTATCTTCGATCATCGATCGCCTTTTTCTGGCACCTCAGTGAGAACTTGTGAGCTGTAGTTGCCCTCATTGTTTGTCACTAAATGACGAGCCATTGTTTTTGTGTTTACATTTGTTCTGTCAGTTCCAGTGACAAAGGATATTGTGTGCCGTGATGCATAATCCCAACATCTGCTCAGATTTCGCTATTTAAACATGTCATGACTTTTCATGCCGAACCCCACTATTTCAAAGCATCTACTATTAAATAAGTTATGGACAGTTGGACTTAAGCTCATATATGCCTCCTATTTGCACTGGCATGTTTCGATAGTCGTTACGTATGGCCTTAAAAGGCTGTGATGTAGACCGTGGTGTGATTTGAAGCAGCTTTGAACAACTTTTGGCATTTTTTGGAAAACAAAAAACAAAGGTCCTCTTGTTGCTGGTGAGGGTGATGGCAACATTGGAGCCCATCCCAGCAACATATGGGTAGAGTGCATGGTTGAGAGCACACAAATGCTTCTCTCCATGGACCATGTGCCAGTCCATGGCTCACTAAATCAATGGGCAATTTAAAGCAGGAGAGTTGCCACTCACAGACCAGGCTAACACACCCACCACTGCAAGACTGAGAGTGAAGAGAGCTTGAAAATTCACGTACCAAACTCTCTGGTTCATATGGAGGTGTCAATACTTTTTTTTGGACACCGTTTTATCTTTCACCCACAAAGATGGTTTTGATTCACTCGAAAGAATCTGGAGAATCAAAATCAAAGAAATATGTCAAAATGGTTTACTACGCAGAGCAGTGGGCTGTCTGCTGGGTGTGCTGGTCTAATTGACTTGGACAGACTGCTAATTTGTTGATACCAGCATGGGAATGATGTGCCCGTCTATCTATAAATTGATGTTTACACATGGACCTCACACAGAGAGAGGGAGGTTTACCAGACTGCTGCGGCACAGGCGCATGTCTGGGGAAGGGAGCAGATTACATTGTTGTTTTATTACAGCTAATTTGTTACATAAATAAGCCTGCTCATTTTCTCGGCCCTAATCTACTGTTTACTTTTGTTTGGTGACTTAAGAAACATTTTGAGTATCCTCATTTCGGTCCGTTCACTCCAGCATGGGTTCAGCTGCCATGCGAGGTGCAATTTTGGCTTGCTGTTTGTGAGCTCAAATAAACAAATCAGGAGAAATCAAGCCCACATGGATGTGTGGTGTTTGTTAAGAGAGATGTTTAGAATGTGAATTGTGTCCAATTAACGAGAAAACATTCCAAAAATGTGTGTCAAACCACCTAGTTTGAATTTTCTTTTATTATATATATATATATATATATATATATATATATATATACACACACACACACAATACACAGTCATTATATAGGAACAGCTTTGTAGCATGAGTCAAATTTGGATTAGCCATTCAATTAGAACCACAGTTCTAACCTTTGCTGGTTGTTTTTTGTTCCTCAGATCTTCTCAACCAATAACACAGAGTGTTCTAGACTGCTGGAGGAGATTAAGTGTGCCCATTGCTCACCACATGCCCAGATGCTCTTTCACTCACCCAAACTTGAAAAGGCACCACACAGAGAACAAGATCTACCCCGCTTATGTCACGACTACTGCCAAGAGTTCTACTACACCTGCCGGGGACACGTACCAGGTAACAAACAAGATCAATGTAAGAGTTTTTTTTAAAGAACATTAGTAACTTCATCAGGAACATCGCTCTTCTGACTCGTGAATTGCAGTTATTCTAAGTCCAGGTTAACAAATTACCTTAGGTAAATTCATCAGACTGTGAAGTCGCATTGTGGGAGAAAGCAAAATATTTGTGGCAGCCCCTGCACATCAAAGTTACTTTGAAACTGAGAGATTCGTTCATCTGATGTTCAAGAAATGCCATTCAGGAGCCACTTGTTGCTGTTTCTTTCTTTCTTTTTTAAACTTTGCAATGACTTAAGCATCACAAAAGGCCTTAAATTATTGGTATTATAGAAATATAAATGATGAAAATGTGATATTTCAAATAAAACAAAATAGAAATTTGAAGTTGTGACAAACTAAATGAAGAACTCAAAAACACCCCAAACAAAGTTCTAAAAAATGTAGCTGTAAATGAATGATTTTATGACCTGTTTCTTCCCTTCGGTCCTTTGGCAAGCGTCTTATTTTACGTCAACACAGCCTGCCAAGATGTGTTTGGTGTTTATGTGCGTGTGTGTGTGCGCAGTCTGACTATGGTCTAGACATGACTGACACTCACCCCTCACACGACACACACTTTACAGGATGCAGCGGAAAAACGAGGCCTGTTCAAGGCAATGCTCACATAATCAGTTTGTTTTTCTTGGTGGCAGCCTACGTTCAATGAAAAGACAAACATTAAGGCCTCTGAAACATAAGGGGGGAAAACAGATGGCAGTGGGGAGGAGTCCGAAAACCTGAAAAGCACTAAGCCTTCATGAGGTTTGTATTTTCTCCCAAACATGAATGACATCAGGAGCAGACATCCAATAGCTGCTCTGTAGTGTTGCAACATTCGCTGCATGATGCATTCCATCAGATGGAATGGTATGCAAAAGCTGGCCGCCAGACCAAACCTTCTTCCTATCAGCGCAGCCATAACAGATTAGATGGGGTCCGATATGCAAACAGAGAGCAAACGCAAGCCACACGCACATACGCACCCACGGAAATGCGAATAGACCGACAAAAATGAGACACTGTGTGCATACAGTTTACCTTTCAGTCTTCCTCTGCTAAACAGATAAATAAGGGTGTGCTGTCTGTTGCAACTCTTTGTAGAGGGAGTAAGCGTATGGGAAAGAGAGAGAGAGAGAGAGAGAGAGACAGAGAGAGAGAAAATAGTGGTAAAGACTCTGAGAACAGGAGCTGGGGCCAAAAGACTCTACCCCCTCCCCTCTCCCCCTCCCAAATCAGCATATGTGGTGACGAATGACACATTTATTTTTCTACAAAGGTTGTGTATATGTAAAACTGCTGAAGTGCATCAAGATGTCAAGTACTTTGGGTGGCCACCCAGGTTGCTTTGGAAGATAACCAGATGGAAGTATAACTATAGCGCTGAGGATGTGGAGTCTCTTTCTCTCTGTCCTGTTTTTTGTAGGCCAGTACAATAAAACTAGAGCATATTGTGGAGGGGCTGAGACCGTAGTTGAGGCCACACAGTGTTTTCGCCATGTTTAGGGAACTTATAAATTGTTCAAATTAGACAGTCCTTTCAGTTCATGTGATTCATTTCTATCCATATTTTTTAACCATGTTTTTAGACCGTGATTAGGCAATGGTTTTCAACAGTAATAAAAGTCCCTTCATATTTTCATGGTGTTTGCTTTCAGTTCACTGAGATTAAGGAGAAACATTTCAGTTCCAAATATTCATTTTACAGTTGTCTGTTCAATGTGTTGATCTCATTTGATTTGGTGAAGATTAAACTTTGGTTTGGTTAAATAAGGTTAGGTTTTAATTTAAAAAATGCATAACACATCTAAAATATTCAGCAATGTTATAGCAAAACTGTATAACAAAAAATCTAATCAAATGAGTGGTTGGGAGGACTCGACCTGTGGCAGATATTTCCACCAAAAAGTAGTTTTGAGAAGATATATTCACACCCCACATCAGCAGACACTTATTTTGATCCCCATGACCTCATAGAGATAATGGAGACATAAGGAGTTTCCCACACTCTTGATAAAGATTACAAAAGGGTTTTTTGTGATACAATAGAAGAACCATTTTGGGTTTCCCAAAGAACCTTTCAGTGAACCTTTCCGAAAGAACCATTTTTTTCTTAGTGTAAAGAACATTTTAATAATCTGAACAAACCTTTTACATTACAAAGAACCCTCTGTCCATTGGAAATACTGCATTGATGTTAAGGTTCTTCATGGAACCATAGATGTCAAAAGATAACTTTTATTTTTAAGTCATGAAAAACCAAGTTTATTTTAAAATTTTGTTCTCTAAGGCTTAGAAATGCTACAGACTTTATAAATAATGATTTCAAATGATTTTGTAGTAATTTTGAGCGACTCTTTATTTTAAATTGTTCATTTGAATTAGAATTGGTTGAACTGGTTCTCACATTAGTCTGAATGACTCATTAGTAAATAGTCTGAATGAAATTTGAATGCTTTTTTTTATTTTATCCCTCGATATGAAATATGGACATGGAAGGATACGGAAAATCATGGAGATTCAAAAGTGTGGGAACTGCATAAACATTCTGACCTCTCAACTACTATTGACAACAACTCCCAGACCCTTACCGCTCACACCAGCAGGCCCAAGATAACCACTGCGGTTTGTGTGTGGGTGGTATGGCAGTATGAGTGGAGGTGGTGGTGGTGTGTGTTTGATCTCACTGTTGCGTTTAGATGTTTAAGGATATCCTATCACCTCTGTTGTTGGTGCTGTTGCTTCCCTCCCACACGCAGCCCCCTTCCTCATGTGGCATGGGGGCTCGCTGGAGATGAAAGGAAGGAGAGGAGTGTGTTTGTGTTTCTATCACTGCTGTATTTGCTCTACTTCTCCCCATGAGAGGGCTTAGCTAAGGTGGTAACCATATCAGTGAGGTTTTTAGGTCACAGCGGCTGCCAAACCGAGTCCTGTTCTCTCTCCTTGTTGTCGTGCTGCTCATTCAGCCAAAAGTTTCCTAGAAACGGACTGTGATTTAATTGCCACACAGTTAATTTTAAGAATTGTCATCGCACATTCCTCAACTCTAGATGTCTAAATTAGGGTGAATTTATTTTGGCTATGATTGGAGAAATAAATAAGGGTGTTTTCCATGAAGGTAAGCAAGCAAACTTAATCTCTTAAATATAATCAATCAGTTTGGGTGTGTACTTATCATTTATTTGGATTTGACCTGCAAGTTTCTGCTGAAAGATATAACGGCAAAGGAGATACAGACTGAGCGTTTGGCATATTTGGGTTTAATTAAACTCACAAACTTTCCACTGTCGGACCACACATGTCTGAAGCGGTTTGTAATACCTCACTGGGGTTCAACCATCACATAATTGTAGCACCCAGAAGTGTGTATCATTGTGGCTCTGACAAATATGACTGTTTTTAACAAATGGTTAAAGGTCTTGAGTCTGGACGCATATGAATGACCATGACTTGCACTTGTCAGATATGAGAGGCAAAAACAAATGTCTTGATTTGAGACTCAGTACTTCATAAATGCACCATAGTCAAGATAGTAATTAAACTTGGCACCGGAATCACCACCAAAACGCCCACACAATAAGCCGTCTGATGGCTGAGGACATACTTGACTCGAGTACAGCTTTGACTGTAGGGGATTCAGTTGGTTTTAGAGGTGATTACATCATCCATGGACCCTGTGTGGTGTCTTATCTCAGGCTGAGACCAGTTGTCTGTCTGTCTGTGTTTTTTAGAACTGTTCCAAGCCGACGTGGATGAGTTCTGCCAGTACTATGGAAGGAAGGACGGAGGCCTGTGCTTTCCAGATTTTCACAGAAAGCAACTGCGCAGAGATTCCAACTACCTGTTAGATGAAAAAATAGAAGTGATTAACAGGTATACATAATTCAGTTTTACACACACATTTCTTTGTTGAACAGTAGAGAAATAGTTCACCTGAAAAAAGTTCACCTGAAAATAAAAATCTGTCAATATTTATTTACTCATGTCATTCCAGATACAAAAGGTGAATTTGTGAAGAATGTCCTGGTCAATCTTTTCAATATAATGAAAGTAAAATAGGGCTGCCCAAAATACCATACCCCCCATATATATGTATATACATATGGATATATATATACCTCATCTGCTCATAGTCATAACGACAAAAATGTAAGTCATTATTCACAAAAATATTGACAACTGTACTAGCTTTCCTTGGCACTTTAATTAGTGAATATATAAGATAAGGAACCATCTCTGATTTGTAAGCTAATTATTCTTTTGAGTCAGAATCGGTTGATCCAGTTCACAAAACCAGTCTGAATAATTCATAAATGGTTCTAAGGTTCAGCTCAGAATACTGTTGCAACAGCCAGTGGCAAGGAAGATTATCAGTGAATATCGACTTAGTTTGACACAAATTGTACTGTATAACTTCAGGAGACTTGGAATCCAGTGAACAAGCTGTATGAACTACATTCATGGAACTTTTGCATCCTTTGTTGCTTGAACGTTCCAGTTCCCATTCATCGTAACATTGTGACATGAAGGTGATTAAATAATGATGGAATTTCCATTTTTTGGGGTGAGCTATTCCCTGTAATGACATCTGAGTGTAACGACATTCATCATCAGGCATGAGAGAAGCTTCCTTACGTCATATAATGTCCCATGGCCCAGTATGACTGGCCTGCTTCGACTACTAGGTCATCAGGGCAGCCTCAACAAGGTCACTAGAGACAAGACAGGCCTGACTAACCTTCCATGTCACAACATTCCTGCATGTACTCGTTGACTGGTCCATTGCCCCTCTTTCCAAGCCAGAGCTTTGTGTCCAGACTTGAGTTTAACCAGCTTTAAGAACACAAAGAAAGTGCTTATACTGCAGGAACTATGAGCTGTTGGTGACAGCCAGAGGGCTTTGACCATTTGTGACAGGACATAGCAAGGGATATAATTTGGGGCTGGCTCTGATTTAGCTCATAGCTGAATATCCTGTTGACTGTAACCTCATATTAGTATTAGGAAAAGGCTTAAAGGGTTAGTTCACCCAAAAATGAAAATTAGCCCACAAATTACTCAACCTCAAGTCATCCTAGGTGTATATGACTTTCTTCTTTCAGACGAATCCAGTCGAAGTTATATTAAAAATGGTCTTTGATCTTTCAAGCTGTTTAATGCCACTCAGCAGGTGTTGCATGCATCAGTCCAAAAGAAGTTAAATAAAAAGAGCCCATCCATAAAAGAAAGTGTCTCACACGGCTCCGGGGGGTGAACAAAGGCCTCCTGTAGCGAATCGATGCATTTTTGTAAGAAAAATATCCATATTCAAAACGTAATAATCACTTTAATGTAGCTTGCACCAACAGTCCTACACAGAAGCAGCTCCAGGCGGATGACGTATGAGTTCAGCGTTGCGCATGCGAGCGAGTCACGTGAAAACCAACGTTTGTTAATAGGAGCAAAAGTTAGGAGTATAGGAGTAGCTAAGTTTCCTTACATTAGCAAAGGAAAACCAGTCTCATCTTGGCTTGTATCGAAATCCTCCGACATTCTTCTTTACAAATCGTCATTTTGTACTTCTAATAAGTGACCTTTTTTTTTTTTGATATCTCCCCTGTGCTTCCGCGTCCGTCACTTCTGAGCGGCGCATGCGCAAAGCTGACCTCATACGTCATCTGCCCGGAGCTGCTTCCATGTACAACTGTTAGCGCAAGCTACATTAAAGTGATTATTAAGTTTTGAATATGGATATTTTTCTTACAAAAACGCATTGATTCGCTACAGGAGGCCTTTGTTCACCCCCCGGAGTCGTGTGAGACACTTTTTTTATGGATGGGTGCTTTTTATTTAACTTCTTTTGGACTGATGCATGCAACACCCACTGAGTGACATTAAACAGCTTGAAAGATCAAAGACAATTTTTAATATAACTCCAACTGGATTCGTCTGAAAGAAGAAAGTCATATACACCTAGGATGACTTGAGGGCAATTTGTGGGCTAATTTTCATTTTTGTGTGAACTAACCCTTTTAATTATTCACTTTTCACAACTTACAATGATGGATTCATATGTGTAGTCAACAAGACCACCTGTAGGACTCCCAAAAACATTGTTAGCCAACTATGGCCGCAAGTTCTGTTGTTACTAACATTTCGGTGTTTCCTGTTTCCCGCAACTATAATTTCTCTAACTCTTCTTCATGCTGTGGTAGTTAAAGGGATAGTTCTGATAGTGACCTTCTGAGACAAATATTGACGAGCTGTGAATCCGCCATGTGTTTTGAGAAGGCTCTGAGCCCACAGTCATTGTAAATGAACGTCATAATTCTTAATCGGACCTCCCATTGCGAAGGGCCAGTAAAGCAGCATATCCGATCAGGTACAGTCACTGCAAGCACATCAGACTGACGTTATTCTACAGCTCAGGCACGAGATGTCAGACATACATTTGCTGCCAGTTCACCCCCTATTACATCTATGGAAAATCCCTCCAAGACTGCTTATTAACAGGAGCACCCACTCTGCTGATGCCCTTGTTTTATTTAAGGCATAATGTGAGTTGGCGTGTCCCCACATCAAATGTGATTTGTGGTTAATGGAACACTTGTTTCACAGCTTGAGAGCCCCCAACTTCTGACTATGTTAAATTAACTTCTCCTGTGGCTTTTTATTCAGTCTACTCCCAAACCAGTCTGTCAAGCAGAAAAGAGCCTGTTGTGTTCCTAACTGTAATAAACTTGTTTATAACGATTAAACTTATACAGTTCTAATGTTTACAACAAAAAATAGACATTGGACAACAACATAAAAGCCTGATGCATAAACTAACCCATCTAAATTTCTAATCTTTCCATTCCTTTCCTACAGAAAACATAAACACAACTGCTACTGCACTCAGGAGGTCCTTAGTGGTTTTCGACAGCCTGTTGGTGTGGTGCATTGTGGGGATGGATCACAGCGGCTTTTTATTTTGGAGAAGGAAGGCTTTGTCCGTATCCTAACACATGACATGGAGCTCCTGAAAGAGCCTTTTCTTGACATTCATAAGCTGGTCCAAAGCGGCATAAAGGTAAGTGAAAGCTCGTGTTTGTTGCCATTGTGGTGGTTATCAATTGGCTGGATTGACAATGTTTTATATACTTAAAGGTGTGGTCAGTGATTTTTTTTTCATTAAGTATTATATGTAAAGAAACAAATATGAAATGTATGTACAGTCATGTGCACTTACATCAGATTAAGATTCCAGTCTCATCATTGAGCTGAAAAACATTTTCAAAGCTTTTTTAGAGAAACAAATTTGAAATTTTACAATATATACTTGATTTCCTTCCTTATTCTTGGTAACAACCTTATTTTTGGACACGTTTTATTCTGAGACATAAAAAATTGCTAACTGTGAATGAATGGCATAAAGTCAGCGTGAAATTAAAATTCACATCTATTTTCTAAATACATGTTTATAATAATAATAATAATAATAGCTCATAGTGTGTACAATTTATGCATTCATGTGTTCATTTTTTTTTTTTGACCTCATAATGTTCAATCAAAAATGACAAAATGACAGACTTCTCTCTGGTGTCAAACACTGGACTTCTCCAATCATTTAGTCTGATTCAATCTAATAATTTGTTTCACTCTGATGTACAAAAGACAAATGCCATGCCAGCTAATGCAATTAAACCAAAAATGACAAAAGTGCACCTTTGAGATGATACAATGCCATTCATTTATCAGGAGACCTGATTTTTTCCAAATCATATCCCAGTGGATTAGTATAGTATTTCAAGTATTTTTGTTAGGGATGCTAATAATGGTGAAATTTAGCTAAATTTCTAAATGTTACCGTTTTCACTCCCGACATTGCTGACATATCTGCCTCTAAAGAGGAAATAGCTTCTATTTAATATTCATGCAGCCTGACCTCCCACCATCAGAGAAGTCTGTCTTGCATAAATCAGGAAGCCTCGCTGAAACGTGGAAGATCTGTTGTTCATCATTTTGGTTTGGCACCTTCTCAGACGAAGCTGAGGGGGGAGAAATGAAGCACCCTAACAGAATAGAATCTTTAAGGAGCACAATAACAACTTCCATGGATGTATTTCCATTTTTCCTCTCCTCCCACCACAAATCAAAACCTGAATGGAGGGTGATGGAGGGTATTATTATACAAATGTATTCTGTATGTGGGCTTCTATGTGTGTGGTTTGCTTGCTGTCAACCTGACTGCCAGCAGAGGAAACCTTGTGTTTGATTGTTAAGGATCAGTGAGAAAAGCTTAAATGTAGCCAGCTGTAGCGTTCGCTTACATGCATGTCTGTCAGTAGTAGTTATGGCGTGTGTCACAACAGATGTTTATCTGCCCCCACAAGAACTGAAGCATTCTGTAATTCGAGAACATTTTGTTTAGCAAGTGTCCAGAGATGTAGGAAGAGACCTGCTTTTTGACAGGAAGTTTATGTATATTGCATACCTCCCGTTGCCTCACTTATAAAAGGAGAAAGAGCAATTATGGAGTCAACATGCAACAGCCCCACAGGAAAGACCCCCAATGTGCCTTATCGTCATTAAACATAATTGGTTGTGGATAAAGCAATCATTATGACAATTAGAGTAAGCTCAAGCCCCGGCAGACCCCAAGAGTGCTATTCTGTCAAGTTTAGCCGCTATCATTCCGAGTCGGCTGTGTTTACTCGGAGCATCAACAGGACATGTGGCCTTTGTGCCCGTGGAAGGCCTGGAGACCCGCTGGGACCCGACTTGGGCATGAAGGGGGATGATAGTGTTTTATCATGACTTTGATTCTAATGTTCTGAATCTCCTTCAAGCCCAATCCCCTTACTGCCACTTAAGCCAAACTGCTTGGAAACAATGCTCTGTCTACTTAAGGGAGTCTCCCAGAGCACCGTGGGTGTTCTCTGATGAAACCGTATCTCTTCAGTCACTCACACACGCACACAAACTGTGTGACATTATCAAACATTCTGTGCTACTTGTGCTTCTCCAATTACTGACAGAAGTTTTGTACTGAAATGCAGAGACACGACTGATCATCTCCCCTTCCCTTTATCCTTACCACCTTTATGATGATTTTTTTTTTCATCACAGGTGGGTCAGTGAAGTTCTCATTTTTATTTTTTGTCCAGATGTATTGATAAAACATATAATGACTTGAATACACATAGTCTATGGCATGGTTTTAATTTCTTCATTAAAATTAATTACAATTTATTTTCATATCTTGTGGGGGGCATAAAGTATAAATGTCCTAATATAATAAATATGAAAACCTTTTAATTGGTCTTTTATGATTATTATTGCAGTTATTTAAAACAACAAAACATTTGAACAGACTATTGTCCACCAAATCAAAGTAACGTGGTGTCACCAACCAGCAGAAACATGCAGAAGACACAGGAAATTATATGATAAAGAGGACACCTTCAGACACCCATGACTGTCAAGGTCAATAAATCTCTTAAAATATTAGATAATTTGAACTTTTTTGATATTCATAAATTAATAATTCATGCTATTAAAAAATACAAACTATAGAAAAAAAAAACATTCATTCAAAATGTAAGAAAAAATATGACCTTTTACTTTATGGTTACACCGCATGACATTTTTAGAGTCATTGAAAGGTTTTATAAATTATACATTTTTTAAAACCGTATGAAACCAACATGCATACAAAGAGCACATTCCTTAGAACTTGGTCATTTGATTTAAGTTAGTTTTTTGAAAGATTATTTTTTATTTTCTTTATCGTAGACACTCTTGTTTGTCACTGACCCAGATGTCTCAATTCAGATCTTCTAAAGAAAGTGTTAAGGATCAAACACCTTATTGGTTTTGACCCAGTTGCACTGGCTACTGTGGAAGTGGACTGTGGTCCTATTGGATTTATTGCAAGCTACTTTATTACACTCTCACATCCGTGGCTGGCCTTCAAGCACAACCCTGCACCAGTCTGATTGGATTCAACAAAGTAAGAGTGCTATCAGCGGAGGCGCTTAACTAGTTAACTACCAGCTATCTATTTTGGGATATCTTGTAAACTAGTTACCTTGTTCCAGATGCCGACAAAAAAAGAGTCATACAGTGATCCTGAAGCATAGGATTTCAGCGCCCTAAAGTGTTTATCTTCTAAACTATTTGTGTGAAAGAGCTCTGATTCAGTTCGTGTTGACGTGATAGGTACACAAGTATGGTACCGCTTTGTTGTTGTCCTTGCTAGATGTAGTGAAGAAGACATCTGCACACAATGTGAGCGGAGTTCCATTGTGGTGTATCAACTAACTCAAGGTGTCCAGCTGCAAAAAACTATTTCTTGCCGAAGCAAGTAGATCACAGCATGTTGTGTCACTTGACACGCACAGCTGTTGAGCTCTTTCAGCTCGACGAGCAGGAGGGCTCTCGACTCTGTCAAAAATGAAGTATCCTAGCTTTGACAAATGGACCTTTTCCTCTCTCGTCCTTTGACTCTTTGAACAGTTCTCTTTGAGAAACGGCCTCTGCTTAACTGTCATCTCACATAGCTTCCTGGCCAAGGTTTTGACTTCGCAAGGACCCCCGAGACAGGATGAGCACCTGTAATGGAGCCATTCAGAAGATTTGTGGATTGCTCCAGAGAGCTGCCGCTGCAATAAGTGAATGCTATCCTACGATTCGATCTGCTCTTTTCATCGCTTGAAAGTGAGCGATCCTCACTCCAGCGCTGTCACAGGATTAATGTGTGTTAACAGGTGGAGGAGGGGGATTTGACTTGAGTCTTTTGAGGGCCTTTGAGGTAGGCACGCATTGTTTTTCTCCAATCAGCTTGGGTGGAATGCCTCTTTATTTAGGATTGCCTGAGCCAATAAGGATCAAAAGGTGCTCAGAAACAATGTGCAAGCCAGGCCATGCATCAAGCCCTGAAAGGCAAGCAGCTGCCGATGGGGTGGATGGGGGTCCAGGAGGGGGGCGATAGTGCTCCCTGTTCCTGTCTGCGAATACATCTGACCCCGATGTATTCTCACTAGCATTCTTTTCAAGAAGCTGTTACAACCTAATCTTAGTACTGTCAAAGCAACAGGCAATGTGCAGAATGCTAACAATAACATAGCGTAGAACCTCTGACCATGACGTTTTGAAGCGAGATTTCGGAGCTGAACTGTTCCTATCGACGTCAGCATGCTGCAAGGTTACCCTGATGAAATGTCTAAGAAAAGTGAACTGCTTGTGACTGCTACAGTGGAACAATATGTACCCGCTGGTATATTGCAACAACTATGCAGAGGCTTGTACACGTAGCCCTGCATCTGCTATGATGGATGGAGGGAGAATATCATGAAGTTTGTCTTCTCTTAATTAAGTTTTTGGTAGCACCCAGAGGAACAGGCCTGGAAAATGTACACGTAGCCCTGCATCTGCTATGATGGATGGAGGGAGAATATCATGAAGTTTGTCTTCATGATGACGTTTTTTTGTGCCTACTTGTTGAAGGAGCGATCATTAGCAAAAGCTAATATTTCAGCTAATTTTGTTCTTTGGTGGTCCCTGGCCTGAGATCATACAACTCTCTGGAATTCTTAACTTGACCTGCTCCCTCTGTGTTTGTTTTGGGATTCAGGTCAGTGCATCAGGAGTCCAACATGTTGAGAGGGAGGTTTCGGAGAAAGGAATAACTTTTCATTTGAAAAAGCTGAGCATGGATAAATGATATCAACCTGCTGTTAACTCAGCCCAACCTTGTTTTGTGTTTGACTAATGTAGAACAGACATTTAATGGGTACCACAGAGTTTTGCTTGTGATTTCACTCTTTGTGGTCTACTAAAGAGTCCTCCTGAGTGTTATTATTCATGTCCCTACAGATCCAATTCGAATTCCTCCGGAGCATTCCAGAGATGGAGCGCTAGCACTTGAAGCCTATTCGAATTGGATTACTTCAGCACAGCCCAACAGAGTCGCTCTAACCAATTTATGATCTGTATGTTTTGGCGTGTACTGTGAGCTGAACCACACCGTTAACTTGGGCAATCCACAGAAGACCTCTCTTTGCTGAATTCCTGTGAGAAATCCAAAAGGAATGCCGCAGAGATGGCACAGACAGCTAATTTAATGAAAACTCTATTTGTTTACTTATTTTACAGCCAATATCACTGTTAGTGTATGTGCTGTAATAAACTGGTGTTACGTCTTATCCCAAAGCATTAAATCATAATCATTTTTCAGGGACTTGCCTCAAACCCGTTTGTTCATTCATTGATTCATTGGTTCATTCATGAGGCGTACGCTTAGCAATCTGTTCATTCATTTCATTTGTGTTGCCAGAAGGAAAACAAAGTTGGAAAGATGAAAGGGAGTAAAGCCCAACATTATTACTTTCCCCAGGAACTAAAGCGACATAGCTGCTTATTACAATGGGCTATGATGGGTGGACCACCAAAGTAGTGACAACTCATGTAGTAGCCTCCGGGATGAGTGGTTTTACCTATTTCACAAGCAATTTCAATGTTTTCTAACTTGTTGCCAAGAAAGTGGGAGTGTTGTATTTTTTTTCTTTTCTGCCCATTCTTTTTTTTGCTTCTCTCAAATTTTGCACGGGTTTAAAAATTTTAAAAAAGAGAGAGAGAGGAAAGAGGGGGGCTAAAGGAATCCTGGACTTTTGTGCTCTCTATGAACTGCGAGCGAGCTAATGAATTGTTTCAGCCACTCGGCACTGCATTCACGGATATCCCCCAAAGATTACACACACAAATCACTTGCACAATGGAGGCCGCAAGGAGGGCCTGGGCATCCCAGAGGAGCCTGGCCCCAAATACAAGCACCTATAACCAAGACGGGGTTGGAGAAAAGTGGGTGTGGGGGTTTGCTTGAAGTCAAATGTTTTATAATCGTTTGTAATGCAGTAGTCAATGAGAGGGGAGGTAAGAAAAAAAGCAAGAGGGCATGGGGTAACTGGCCCCCATATGGAGAGAGACCGAGATGAAGAAAGGCTAAGAGCAAAAGGAGAGAGAGAGAGGGGGACATGGGGAGGCTCGGCTTTAGCTTTTTGCAGCCCAGACCAATCTAAAAAAGGGACATAAGTAACTTCTGGATTCTTTGTGTACCCCATCTGACTTGCAGGGAGGAGATGAAAGGGGCTTGCTAAGCCTTGCATTCCACCCCAATTATAAGAAAAATGGAAAGCTCTACATCTCCTACACGACCAACCAAGAGCGCTGGGCTATCGGACCACACGACCACATTCTTCGTGTAGTCGAGTACACTGTGTCCAGGTAATGAGAAACCAGTCAAAACCTGACCAAGCACAGGGGCTACTAACCCGAGCCGTAACCATCATGGACAATGGGGGGAAGTGTCCTTCCTCATATTCAGATATTGTCAAATTGTCTGCCTTGATATTCCAAGAGGCAAAACAAAAAAGGGGGAGGGGGAAATCTGTTAGGGACAAAACCTGCCCTACCCCAATGTCAATTTGTGGTTATGGCCTTGGATCAAAGGTGTTTCAAACTTTACACATGGACGTGTATGCGTAATGTTTGTTTCCCATGTGGTTTTAGATAAGTCATGAAAAGCTGAGCTCCTCATGAAATGCTTTCACTTACAGTGATGAATGTTTTATAGAGATATGTAATCACAACATATAATTATCACGAAGGCTGACATCCATTCTGATTGTGTTCAGCTCCCCAGCTGCGATGCAAAACACCCAGCATTATCAAACCCGCTAAAGTGTAAATTTTGTAAATTAGCCTTTCAAATGCCAAAATAACCTAATTTTGAGTTGGTTATAATATATAGTTGCCAAAATAAGTCATCTGATTTAAACAAAATGTTTTTTTTTTTTTGCATTTTCTGTGCTGATTTTTTGTGAATAATCAGTTGTAATTTTTAAACTATTAAATTAATAAATATATTTTGAAACTTTTTTTTAAATAAAATATTAATTCAATTTTGTATTTACATGTATTTAGTTTTCTATTTTGTACGCTCAGATAGAGTCCCTGCGACCCTACAAGTTGTTTGTTTTTTTCCGATCCCTAGCAGTTCAGAAAATTGATGGATTTAGGTTTATATATAAATGTTTTAATATTTGGTTTTAGGAAAAACCCAAACCAGGTGGACACAAGGACCACTAGGGTTTTAATGGAAGTAGCTGAGCTCCACCGAAAGCATCTGGGAGGGCAGCTCCTCTTTGGCCCTGATGGGCTTCTGCACATTTTTTTAGGTGATGGCATGATCACTTTGGACGATATGGAGGAGATGGATGGTCTGAGGTAAGTACTGAATGCTTAAAGCTGTAATAATCAAGCACTATTGATGAGTCAAACCATGTAATAGTGATATAAGCATTGTTTCAAATATTTTCAATGGAGTGTTTTTCTGCCTTAGTGATTTCACAGGATCTGTCCTTCGGGTGGATTTGGACACAGATTGCTGTAGCACTCCTTACTCTATACCCAGAAACAACCCCTATTTCAACAGCACAAATCAGCCCCCTGAAATCTTTGCCCATGGACTGCATGACCCAGGGAGGTAAGGTCAAACATTTTACTGAATTGTCTTTCGAAAAATTGATTGTTAGATTGTTAGGGAAAGCTACTCTATGAATTCTTTTCATTATATGTTGGAACATGGATGTGGGAATTTGCACCTGTATATCAGTGAGCTTAGGCACTGATGTTGGGCGATGGGGTCTGGCTTGAAGTCGTCATTCCAGTTCATTGGGGTTCAGGTCTGGGTTTTGTGCAGGCTAGTCAAGTTCTTCTGCACCATATGCAGTAAATCATTTCTTTATGGACCTCATTTTGAAAAAGCGCCCACCCAAACTGTTACCATAAAGGTGGAAGCACACAGTTTCTCAAGAATGTAAATAAATGTTAAGATTTGTCTGGAATTAAGGTACGTTACCAATCTTGCCTGTTAGAATTAGAAGTGCACGCCAACACATATACCATATAATTAAATAAAGTGTCATATAACAAGTAGCAGTGTGGTTTACACTGCTGCTGTCTTGCAAAATGCATTAAAATGGTATTTTGTGCTCTAGGTGTGCAGTGGATAAGCTCCGCATGGACACCAATGGGAGTCTGCTGATCCTGTGCACAGATACTGTTGGCAAAAATACGACAACAGGCAGGATCCTACAGGTTATCAAAGGGAAAGACTACGGTATGTCTGTTAGAAGTGGCTGGTTTCTAAAAACATGATGGATTACTGTACAAGCAAAAAGGCTTTTCTACAAGCCAAATAGTTCCAACCAGGCAACCACTCAAGAAGTTCCTGTATTGTATTTCACAAAACATTAAATTCTCCCTCCATGTACTGGTTATGAAATAATGTTAAGCTTTTATGCTGAGAACAGAATGTCTTCGATGGAATGGGGGTCCGTTCCAAAAAAATGATTTAAGACCTTCTGTACAAACCGATCAACGCTTTATTCAAGAATACCATTACAACACTCTCGTTTCATAACACCAATGGGAGTCTGCTGATCCTGTGCACAGATACTGTTGGCAAAAATACGACAACAGGCAGGATCCTACAGGTTATCAAAGGGAAAGACTACGGTATGTCTGTTAGAAGTGGCTGGTTTCTAAAAACATGATGGATTACTGTACAAGCAAAAAGGCTTTTCTACAAGCCAAATAGTTCCAACCAGGCAACCACTCAAGAAGTTCCTGTATTGTATTTCACAAAACATTAAATTCTCCCTCCATGTACTGGTTATGAAATAATGTTAAGCTTTTATGCTGAGAACAGAATGTCTTCGATGGAATGGGGGTCCGTTCCACAAAAATGATTTAAGACCTTCTGTACAAACCGATCAACGCTTTATTCAAGAATACCATTACAACACTCTCGTTTCATAATGTGAGAACACACTTTAAATATAAAATGCTTCTTTTAATCCCTGGGGACTTGCAAGCATATGAACAACTGTATAATTTATCGCTGTCGAAGAGCGTTTATATGGTCATTTAGTACATTGTTGAAACACAAAACGACCAGCATGGCAGTCCATCTCTCAATCGTGCTGACTAAGACCCCTAAATCAATACCAGAAGTGAATATATATTATTTCCTATGGCCAAAGTAATGGATTGGCTCTCTCGTACTCCTCCTTACGCATTGGCAGCAAACAAATATGGCTCTCTCCCAGCCAATGCATTTAAACCCCAAAAAGATTGTCTCGCAAGTGTGCCAAATTACCCCAAACTCCAAGCCATTTACGATGTTAAACCATCACCATGGTGAATGACTTACTTCATTAAATCACATTTTATTGTTTTACGGGGCTCCGACTGTAAGGTTATAGTACTGGCCATTCCCTAAGCTGCTGTAATCTTTGTAGCCATACAAACTTAAACAAATATACACAAACACTCAATAGTAATTGTAGGATTACCTCACCCTTTTCTCTCGTGGCCTTTTCCTAATCTATTTGAGCTATAATGTGAACTTAACAGTGCTTAATAAGGACATTTAGTGAAATGAACATAGCCCTCCATATCAAGTTTACATAGTGTTTTTATAACCGTCTGGGGAATAGCTAATTAAAACCAGCCTGTGTGAAGTGCTAATGGTCTCTTGACAGATTGTGGTAAACATGGATATCCCTTACACAAACAAAGAAAACTGTTATTATGGGGATAAATCAACTTTGCAACACATGTAGGATGGTGATTGAACACATCGAGTTTGGACAAAAATTTTTTTTTAATTTAGTTATCTAAACAATGCAGATGATTTCCGTTAACTCATTTGAATTTTCAAGCTCAAATAACCCATAACTCATAAAAAATAACCTAAAACTCATAAAATGTACAACCACATGTCGACTTGTTACCTTGCTCTGCTTTTCTTTCTTGATGGTGAGTTGTTCGTGTGTCTGCCCACAGAAAATGAGCCATCTATGTTTGATTTGGGGTCAAATGAAGGTGCCGTCCCAGTTGGTGGATTCATCTACCGGGGATGCCAGTCAAGAAGACTTTATGGAAGTTATGTATTTGGAGACAAAAATGGGTATGTTGTGTTACTTTATGATGTTAGAATTATTAATTATGCAAAACTACTTGGTGTATCCCTTGAACAGTCAGAGAAACTGAATAGTTATGCTTCCAAAAAACAGATATTGAACTTCCATTTTCATATTGCTCCTCTTTGGTTTTTTGTGGTAATTGTTAAACTGCGAATGGAAACTGCCATCTTTCCTGTGTTATTGGCTGTGCCAACACACACACTGGCCACATACCCCAATGAAGAAAAATAGCTTTTTCAGGGTAAATTGATAGCAGTTTTCCTGCCAGGTCAATGGGCCACTGGTATATGTTTTTCACACTTCACACAGGTTTATAATTCATCCTCAATATCAGCCTGCATATTTTGTCAACAGTGAGAGATAAACTGTAGGAAGTAAATTGTTCCTGGAAATCCAAAGCAGTAAATTATGCCTGATGTTTTGTCATGTAATTTTATTTTTTGTAAAAAATAAAGATGTTCGCTCAAGTCTGCTGGGTAGACAGAGCAATGACATTTTTAACCCCTGACTTCATGATCGTTGCAGGAACTTCAGAATTCTGCAGAGGCCTTCAGAAGACAGGTCGTGGCAAGAGAAGCCTCTTTGTCTTGGTACTAGCAGTTCCTGTGGTTCCTCGCTGGTCGGCCACATCCTGGGGTTTGGCGAAGATGAATCGGGTCAGTGCTCAAAAAACTTTGTGTGTTCGTTTCACTGCAAATTTTGTGTGCTTCTGTCATAACCTTTATTCATGGTTCTGTCAAGTTTAAAACTATATTATGCAGAAGATACATTGTTAATTTTTTCTTTTTTTAATTGAAAGAAATTAATACTTTTATTCAGCAAGGATGCATTAAATTGATCAAAAGTGACAGTAAAGACATTTACATAGCTATAATTTTCTATTCATCAAACAATCCTGAAAAAAATTCCACAAAAATGAGCATTGATAATAATAAGAAGCATAGTAGAATGACTTCCAAAGACTGGAATACACATTTAAAAAAATATATTAAAATAGAAAACTCTTATTTTAATCACTTTATTATATAATTGTAATCATATTTCACAATATTTCTGTGTTTACAGTATTTTGATCAAATAAATGCAGCCTTGGTAAACCTAAGAGGCTTCTGAACATTTAAACAGTAGTGTAACTACAGGCATTTCTCAAAAGGTAAAAAATAACCTAAAACTCATAAAATGTACAACCACATGTCGACTTGTTACCTTGCTCTGCTTTTCTTTCTTGATGGTGAGTTGTTCGTGTGTCTGCCCACAGAAAATGAGCCATCTATGTTTGATTTGGGGTCAAATGAAGGTGCCGTCCCAGTTGGTGGATTCATCTACCGGGGATGCCAGTCAAGAAGACTTTATGGAAGTTATGTATTTGGAGACAAAAATGGGTATGTTGTGTTACTTTATGATGTTAGAATTATTAATTATGCAAAACTACTTGGTATATCCCTTGAACAGTCAGAGAAACTGAATAGTTATGCTTCCAAAAAACAGATATTGAACTTCCATTTTCATATTGCTCCTCTTTGGTTTTTTGTGGTAATTGTTAAACTGCGAATGGAAACTGCCATCTTTCCTGTGTTATTGGCTGTGCCAACACACACACTGGCCACATACCCCAATGAAGAAAAATAGCTTTTTCAGGGTAAATTGATAGCAGTTTTCCTGCCAGGTCAATGGGCCACTGGTATATGTTTTTCACACTTCACACAGGTTTATAATTCATCCTCAATATCAGCCTGCATATTTTGTCAACAGTGAGAGATAAACTGTAGGAAGTAAATTGTTCCTGGAAATCCAAAGCAGTAAATTATGCCTGATGTTTTGTCATGTAATTTTATTTTTTGTAAAAAATAAAGATGTTCGCTCAAGTCTGCTGGGTAGACAGAGCAATGACATTTTTAACCCCTGACTTCATGATCGTTGCAGGAACTTCAGAATTCTGCAGAGGCCTTCAGAAGACAGGTCGTGGCAAGAGAAGCCTCTTTGTCTTGGTACTAGCAGTTCCTGTGGTTCCTCGCTGGTCGGCCACATCCTGGGGTTTGGCGAAGATGAATCGGGTCAGTGCTCAAAAAACTTTGTGTGTTCGTTTCACCGCAAATTTTGTGTGCTTCTGTCATAACCTTTATTCATGGTTCTGTCAAGTTTAAAACTATATTATGCAGAAGATACATTGTTAATTTTTTATTTTTTTAATTGAAAGAAATTAATACTTTTATTCAGCAAGGATGCATTAAATTGATCAAAAGTGACAGTAAAGACATTTACATAGCTATAATTTTCTATTCATCAAACAATCCTGAAAAAAATTCCACAAAAATGAGCATTGATAATAATAAGAAGCATAGTAGAATGACTTCCAAAGACTGGAATACACATTTAAAAAAATATATTAAAATAGAAAACTCTTATTTTAATCACTTTATTATATAATTGTAATCATATTTCACAATATTTCTGTGTTTACAGTATTTTGATCAAATAAATGCAGCCTTGGTAAACCTAAGAGGCTTCTGAACATTTAAACAGTAGTGTAACTACAGGCATTTCTCAAAAGGACTAACAAAAAAAAAGTTTAGGCCAGGTCTAATGAAGCGATTGTTTTACATTAGAATGTGTATACCGTAGTCACAGGAAGGAGAAAAAACTGGCTCCCGAATCCAAGAATCATCTGAATGATACAGAACAGAAAGAAAACCAATCCCTTGTCCTACCTCCCATTTTCAAATATCTTTCCTCCAAGGAACATTTTGCTATGACACAGTACTCCTTTAGTTTCCTGACAGATTACTTCCTCTTTTTTGCTGCTAACAGACGGTACAATTGGAAATCAAAGGTCAGCGCAATCTGTCAGCATATAGGGTTTACATGCACAATCTCCTCCATTTCCTTAGCTGTTCTTTCAACGTTGATATCAACTGATTTCTGGCTTACTGGAATAGTAATGGGGGTCATTTTTATGTGAACTTGACACCAGCCCCTCCGACAGTGCCTCGCCAAATCAAAGTTATGCCCACTCACTGCTGCTAGGCTGTACTCTCTGCCACCATGTAATATCCCCACAGCTCAGTGCATCACAGGGAACATAAACTCTCGAATCCAAACACCAGGTCAAGTGTGACAGAGAATAAATCTCGTGCTTTGCCAAGAGTGGGCCTCTGTGAGGGAGAGATAGCATTTGTTGCTGATTTGTAAGAGGGCTTCAGTGGAAGGCTGTACTGGAGACCCACATGGCAGTCTCTTGACACATGTTTACAATCTGTGCACAGTGCTGCAAGCTTGCTCCTCATTAAATTACTTGCATGACGATTTAATGAGCCCCTCTCGAAACCCTCTCATGCACCAGTGTCAAGTGCAACGAGTAGGAAGGAAGGAAGATGAGAGAAGACAAATGAGATCCCTGAAAGACCTACATGTGTTCTTTCCTCTGCAGGTGAGGTCTACATCCTCGCTTCCAGCAAAAGCACGGCGATACAGTCGCACAACGGAAAACTCTACAAGTTGGTGGACCCTAAAAGGTGCGTTGAGCTTCGAATACACAGAGCAGCATATTGTATACAACGGAGTTTATGCAACAGCCTCTCTGTTTTTCCGTTTTCATTGCTCGCATGTGAAATATGTGATGTTACTGCTGAGCAATGCTAATATTGAAACTCGCGTAATTAATTCCATTTTTATTCCACTTTACAAAACATCCCCCGGTATTCTTCTTACGTGCTATAGTTTGAACATCTGCGTGGTTAGTTCATACCAAGAGAGAGAAGGTTATTTTGAAGAATGTTACAACTGGATTTGTTCATGCAATGAAAATCAATGGGGTCCAAAACAACATTCGTTGACTCTCATTGTGTGGACAAAAACACTAAGACGTTTTACAAAATATCTTTCTTTTGTGGGTGAGATAATGATGACAGAATGTTCATTTGTGGATGAATTATCCTGTTAAAGCACTACTCGTTTTCACTCACAGACACGCACAAGGACTCTAGCTTCCCTTAAACAAATCATCACACAACTGCCGGTCTTAGCCAACACAAACCTCGGCCATAATTGGAGAGTAAGCATACCATTTCCAAATGTTAGTGTAACGTGTTTCTAACACCAACACAGTCAAGGTGGCTCGGACACAGCGCTGGTTAACTAGCAAGCCTGTTTGGTCATCGGTTGGGTGTTTTCCTTGCTTTGACAGGACTTACACACCTGTCTTCAAGAGAGGGAATGTTTTCCTTGAGAACCTTGAGTACGTTCATATGCTGGCGAATCTGTGGCTGAACAAAATTTATCCAGTTGACATACATGTGCACGAGTTCACGGCGAGAGATTCAGCACATGTGAATGGAGTTGGTTAAAGGATTTAATCATTTCTGTATGCTAGTGGGCTTTTTTCAATATGGCGTAATTTAACCCGTGTGTTTTACGCCACTAAAAGCCACTTTTATGATAGATCTTGAAAATATGTCGTTCTCACCAAGCCAAGTGCATATGAAAGGCATATCATCTATCAGAAATGAGCATATGAATTCCCACGTAACAACTGCCAAAAGTGTTTGCATTTTTAATAGATCATATATCATTTCCAGAAAAAAAGGGACATTACAATAGGCACAGGCAGATCTGTCAAGTCTCTAATTCAAACCAATCCCTCATGAAACTTGTTTTTGTGCTTTCTACGCCATTCAAAGTCCTTTTACTGGACCTTTTTACACAATGAGGGCTATATAAATTACCCTCAATTATCAGGTGAAATGATTCAAAGATTATGTACATGCAAAATTATTCAGATCCTAACCAATTTTTAGAATTTTGCTGAAGTACAAATGAAAATTACACTTAAAATGTGCTTATTTAGTCTGTGATATGTCAAAGCACTGAAAGAGCTGAAATTTCTTGTTGTATGCATTCTCACATTTAATAAATCCACCTTGCGATAGTATCAACTCTTAGTTTATATAGTCATATGCCTCTGAGGAATTGCATTTCATGAAAAAAATGTCTCCATATTCTGAAAAAAAAAAAAATTCATTTATAATATGCATCCTTATTTAAGTGAGGACTGAAGGCTGTGAAAAGGAAAACTACCAAGCATTCCAAGGTAAAGTACAAATCAAGTGATTATCCGAGAGGTTCAATTTTCTGGATGTGGAAGCCATCCAGACGCTGGCTAGGTTGTTCCTCAAAACTCTCCATTCAAACAAGAAGCAGAAAGGCTTATGATCACTTTGAAAAGCTACAAAGTTAAATTTCTAAGAATTACATAGAGGTGCACCAGTCAGTTATAAGATAAGAAATTCTTTGTAACACTGGGAGGTATAAGGGACCACGAGACGGCACATCTGAAGCTTGCCTTAGTAGTGGCCCTGTTGCAGTTGTGCTCCAGATAAGGCCTAGATTCAAAGCAATATGTGTGGTGCAAATCTAACACTGCCCACATCTTAGTGTACGCTATACCTGCAGTGAAGTATGTTGGTGAACGCATCATGGGGGCTGTGTTTCATCAACAGGAAATTTTATCTTGTTAGAATAAAAAAAGAATACGTATTAACACTATTTACAGAAATTCCAGTAACAAAATTGTCAGTGCCCTACAATGACCTAGTCAAAGTCTGATCTCAATTCAAATATTTATATCTTCCAGACAGCAAATCTGTCTGGAAGAATGAGCCAATGTCACATTTAATAAATAAATAAAGATTGTCATTACTGTAAAAAGTGACTTTTAAAAATACAACACAATATGTATTGAATCAGTATGCAAACTATCACAGAAACCAATATTTGTATGTAGGATTTCAGCAAGGATTGAGAGAAAATTGCTTGAAGGTCTGAATATTTTTGTGAGGCTCTGTATACCCAGGTGACGACAGTGCCACCCAAGTCTAATGCTATTAATTACCACAGATGTTTCCATGAGTCTCCTAAACAAGGCCCCTCAAACTTACTTTATTTATGTTTTCTGGCATTACCGCATTTTTCCAAAGAACAATTCTTTCCACCATTGATTGGAGTTGTTTAGTCTGTTGGACCTGTGGTGTTGGGTTCACGGTTTTATATATCATGTCAGTTTTTGTGATCTAATTACCAAATAAAAGAGGGGATATAACATTTCTGAGTGACTAGCACTGTCAAATGGGGTGGTCCAACATTTACATTTCTAGTATCTACATTTACATCTTTTCTGCACCTTTTAACCTTTGCGTTCTGGCTAGGGCTGAGGGCTTCAAAATACCTTCTTTGTGTTTGGAATATGATCTGCCACGTTGCATTTTTGGGTTGTGGAACTGTGGGGTAGGGCAGAAAGCATAAAATATATCATAGAATATCATATCAAATGAAAGTCAAATGTTTGAGATGTTGCAGTAAACCTCACCAGGATGACTGCACCCATCTAGAATGGTAGAATAATAAATAAGCCACCGCACACTGAAATGTACATGTATCGATGTCCAATGTGGACAAGAGAGAGACTGTAGGATTGTTTATTGGCTGGTGGCAATAACTGAGAAGATGCCAGTAAGTGAACTATTTATAATTTGGTTTTTCTGTAATATTAAATACAAACTGACGCACATCCTCAGTTTTATTCAGTTTTTTTACTGATCCAGTATATGCAATGTTGCAATGTTTGTTATCTCAGTAGGCATACTCCTTGTAAGCAAAATTTAGCCCAGCAAACAAATTTAACCCCATGTAAGCTACCAGAAATTAGAACTTCATAGCGATACTTTTGGCAGATACAGTCTGTTCTGACAGCTGAATGACAACATCTCAACATTTCAGTAGAAACCAAGGAATGTTTGAAGAACTCATCAAAATATATTGTTTGAGTGTTACTTGAGTGATTTCTGAAATGACCTTTATTCGTTTTAGAACCACAGACCTGAGGATATGTCAGAAAGAAAACAAATATAAGTGTATCTCCCATGACTTTGGATTTAGTTGGCTGAATGTGTCAAATAGGTTATTTAGATGCACTTTTCTGTAGCAATACAGAGGTAACAAATTCCTCTAGGCTTAAGTGTGTGTGTCAAGAGCAGGATATACAAACACTTTAAAAAGTGCTCACATTCTCCTGGTCCCCATTTTCACAAGTCTCCTTTATTTCACGGTCTCTCCTAAATCTCTCCTGCTCACAACCGTGTTCCTCCCCTTGACAAAGACTCTTAGGGGTGGTACTGAATGGCCTACTGCTACAATACACAGTAAATTTTTTGATACAATGTAACCACAAAGAGGTGCTAACAAAAGCGAGAGATGACAAAAAGGACAGAGGAGTCACACAGAGAGCCTTGATGAAGGCTTTTTTATGCTGTGTTCATTGAACACCCCTCAGCCCTTCACTCCTCTACCCGTGCGCTTGCTTTCATCAAATAACTCAACTTGTTAGCTTTGATAGTAAGAAACTGTTAAGCCAAGAGATATTAAACTGTCTCCTGAAGAAAAGCTCGGAGCTACTAGAGTCATTACCCATTCTGCAATTCCACAGAAAGCACCACAGATTTCCACAGAATTGGACCACCCATCATTCACCAAGTTATACAAGTCCCCCACCCCATTTATTAAATATTTTGGCATAATAATTATGTTTTCAACTACCAATAAGTGTCTAGTACTGTTTAACACATCTAAATTGATTCCACACATTTACAGCATTAAAAACACCCAAAACTTAAATGTCTCAATTCCAGTGTAGATGATTTTTTCCTAGGTAGATAGTGTAGAACGGGAACTGGGATCATGGCTGGCATATTGTGCCAAACATTCCTTGGATGGACAAAAAGAGAGGTTGTGCAGCTGATGTGTTGAACCTCCCATTCAAGCTACAGGACAGTCTTAAACTAATAAGCTGGGGCGTTCTTTTAATTTATCATTCTGTGTTTTATGCAAGTGGCCTCACAGAGCTGATACATTCCCACAGTGCCTGTTGACCCAGCTGTCTTTGTCAAGTGCCACGGCAGCAGGTGTTGTTTTCACGGCCACCCTGCCTGTAATACAAACTGTTTAGTAGCGCCACTGACCCCGACGTCATTAACAGTGTTAGTCCAATCCTCTGGGGAGTGCCTCTTTCTCTCCTTTCCGTCCCTCCCTCTTTTTCTTTTTCACTATCCATCTCTATTTCTTTCTCTCCCTCATCTTTTCTGTCTCTCTCTGTTTTTTTAACAACATAACAGCCTGTCACAACAACACACACAAAAAAAACTGAATGAGAGACAAGGGAGACCTGATATGGGTGTTGAAAGTGGTTGAGGGGAGCATGGGAACTGCACCCCCAATAGACACCCCAGCACATCCTGCCACAATTCCCTTGTTACCACCCTATTCCTGCCATCAGTCACTGAAGCTGTCAGTGGTACTCAAGAAGTCCAACATCCCACTCGCTTACATAGACACTGCCAAGGTTGGTTCGTACAATGCTGAAAAGCACCGACATCCAACGATTGTCAATCAGTTTGTTAAACCTGATGTCATCTGTTTTTACCAAATTAACATCAGTTGGTCCAATTTTTTTAACAAATTCCAA